GGTAATTCTGGGGTGTGTGATTCTCATGAGAAAAAGAGACAAAAGAAAGTCAACTCTACTTCTGAGGTCTTTCACAGTGGAAGGGAGGGTCATATGTTAAAAGTTCGGTTCAGTTCAGTTGCTCAGTCGAGTCCGACTCTTTGCGACCCCATGGGCTGCAGCACACCAGGCCACCCTGTCTATCACCAGCTCCCAGAGTTAACTCAAACTCATGTCCGCTGAGTCAGTAATGCTATCCAACCATCTCATCATCTGTCATCCCCTTCTCCTTCTGCCTTCAATCTTGCCTGTGTTAAAAGTAGTCAGTGTATAAAAAAGTGATAAAAATGGAGAAACATCATGATTTGGGAACACTACATGGTAAGAGAAACAAGAAGTCTCCAGCAGCTACCATTAAGAGAGAAATGCTGGAATCAGGGCAGACATTAAGAGAAGTGTCAGTGAAATATAAGATGTAAAACTTCTCCATCTCCCCTAAAAGAATAAAGATCTATGATATTATTCCAAACTTTCAATCAAATTCACATTTTACTGTGGTAGGTATGTCTGTTTGGATGCTTTTAAAAATATATGGACAGAGAGAAACAGGTCCCAAACCTGCCAGTTTCATTTAGTTGTGTTTTTTTTTTTTTAACTTTTTGATGTGGACCATTTTTTAAGTCTTAATTGAATTTATTACACCATTGCTTTTGTTTTATGTTTCAGTTTTTTGACTTTGAGGCATGTAGGATCTTAGCTCCTCAACCAGGGATTGAACTTGCACTCCATGCATTGGAAGGGGAAGTCTTAACTACTGGACCGCCAAGGAAGTTCCTGCCATTTGGGTTAACCCAGCAAAATCCTTAGTAATCCTCAATAAACAGAAACTATTATTACAGTGCTGATCATGACCTATTAAATTTGTTTTTTGACTCTTCTCCCCCACTGTCCTCTGTCATATTCATCTCCGAATGCCCATCAACTAAAGCCTCTTTGTAATGATAGGTGCTTAACCAATATTTGTAGATTGGATTAACTGAAGGGATTGGAAGGATGATGGATGGAGAGAGGAACAGACAGAAGAAAGGAAGAATGCTGACATTGTTCACATCAGCTTTATGGAGAAACACACTAGCATGATCAGTTTAGTTTAGTTCAGTCAGTCAGTCATGTCCGACTCTTTGCAACCCCATGAATCGCAGCACGCCAGGCCTCTCTGTCCATCACCAACTCCCGGAGTCCACCCAAATCCATGTCCATTGAGTTGGTGATGCCATCCAACCATCTTATCCTCTGTCGTCCCCTTCTCCTCCTGCCCTCAATCTTTCCCAACATCAGGGTCTTTTCCAATGAGTCAACTCTTCACACGAAGTGGCTAAAGTATTGGAATTTCAGCTTCAGCAACAGTCCTTCCAATGAACACTCAGGACTGATCTCCTTTAGAATGGACTGGTTGGATCTCCTTGTAGTCCAAGGAACTCTCAAGACTCTTCTCCAACACCACAGTTCAAAAGCATCAATTCTTCGGCACTCAGCATGGCCAGTCTTAGAGAAGGCAAAACACACGCTGAGAGTGGGTCTTCTATCTCCCCACTCTGGAACTCTCCCTTTGGATAGCATCACCAGGAGACAGTAGAATCACTAAAAACTCAGGGTCTAAAACCAGATGGCCTGTGTTCAAATTCTAACTCCATCCAGAGACATATTCACAGTAGAGTTAGTGATGTGAAGATTCAGGGCCCCTCACTTACAGCCCCTTCCAAGGTCCTGTACCTGTATTTCACATTTGTAAATGTGTATTCTATTTGTGAAAGAGATTCCCAATCCTATAAAACAAAACTTCCTGATTCCACAAAACCTGGATCTAAAGTTGGCTCCTCTAGTTACTGGCTATGTGACCTGGGCTCCATGTATTTATCTGCTATGTGCCTCCATTTCCCCACTTGTTAAACAGATTAAAACTGGAAACCTACTTTGTGGGGTTATTTTGAAGATTAAGTGAGTGAAATACTAAGCACAATGTCACGCACATAGTATGTGCTCAATGTGTGTTGGCTTCTATAATTCCCTTTTTAGGTCATCCCTTAACTTCCTGCCTGTCAGGTCCCAGGTAATCTCTCTCTTTGCAAATTTAGCCTGTGGCAAGCTCCTCCCTAATCCTTAATCCCTTCCCCTAGCACCTGAGCACATTGTCTGCTGTGAGCCTCCTGGCTTTTTTACAATCTGATTTTATCAATCTCTCTTTGATTTCTTTAAACCTACTATACTTGTTCATTACTTACAGCACATGACAAATTGGTATTTTTTTTCCCTTTAGGAGCCATCTGCTTAATGGGTTTTCTGAACAATAACACAGGGAAGATGATAGCATTATCCTGAAAACTTTTGTTATAAATAATATTTTGAAAACACTCATACATACAGAACTGTGGAAAACATTCATACATACAGAACTGTGGCCACTAATTAGATTCTATCTTGCCCCTGAAATATTGATCTTTTCAGATATATTCAGCCCCATGAATACTGATACCTCTATGTCAACTGTGGAACAGGCTTGGGACACATGGATGTTTGCCTGATATACCTGTCTAGCGGGTTTCTCAGGTGGTGCTAGTGGTAAAGAACTTGCTTGCCAATGCAGAAGACAATAAGAGACGCAGGTTCGATCCCTGGGTCAGTAAGATCCCCTGGAGGAGGGCATGGCAATCTACTCCAGTGGAATCCCCTGGACAGAGGAGCGTGGCGGGCTACAGTCCACAGGGTCACAAAGAGTCAGACACGACTGAAACAACTTAGCACGCACACAGGCATTTGCCTAGTTCCTGATTTAAAGCTAAACCCAGTGAAAATGTATAAGAAAACACGCTGCTGCCAGGTTTGCCTCATACTCTCCATCTCCCTCCAAATCTTGTATGCAGTTTGGCTAGCAGTTAAAGAACAAGTTTGTGTTGACTGATTGGCTTAATGGCTCTCAAACCACATCACTTTCTAGAACAGATAGTCATTGCTGTTTAAGTCAGGATTACTGAACCAATGTCTGCAAACGTTCAAGTCAGGTTCACATACCCAGGAGTCCTATAACCAAATACACATGACGGAGTGAAAGACAAATGCCGGTCATTCATACTGGTCCTTACGTCATCCTCACCATGTTTCATTATTCCGGGGCCATCATTTTCCACGGTATCTTGACAAATATGTGACTATTGCTTTCTCTTCTTTTTTTTGGGGGGGGGCCTCACCATGTGGCATGCGAACCTTAGTTCCCCCACGAGGAATTGAACCCACACCCCTGCATTGGCGGTGTGGATTCTTTTTTTATTGGTTATCAATCCTGAATACTTATTGGAGGGACTGCTGCTGAGGCTGAATCTCCAGGACTCTGGCCACCTGATGCAAAGAGTCAACTCATTGGAAAAGATCCTGATGCTGGGAAGGATTGAAGACAGGAAAAGAAGGGGATGACAGAGGATAAGATGGTTAGATGGCATCACCAACTCAATGGACATGAGTTTGAGCAAACTCCAGGAGTTGGTGATGAAAGGGAAGTCCAGCGTAGTCAATGGAATCACTTGCAGTCAGACATGACTGAGCGACTGAACAACAACGAATTAATTAATTTGACTGCACTGGGTTTTAGTTGAGTCACAAGGGATCTTTGTTCTTCCCTGAGGCATGCGGGGTCTTTAGTTGGGGCGTGTGAACTCTTAGTTGTGGCATGCGGGAACTAGTTCCTTGCTGAGGGATCGAAACTGGGTCCCCTGAAATGGGAGTGTGAAGTCTTAGCCACTGGACCACCAGGGAACTCCCATGTGACCATAAAAATAGTAATAATTTTATACTAAAATAGAGGTAAATATCACTATGCAGTACATTTCAAAATTATGTTAAATAGGCAATAAACTGTCTCACATCCCAGGACTTCACCACATGATAAAGTTACACTGAAACATCCTGAAGCCCAGGGAAATGGCGCAGAGAATTCAGCACAACCTGTCTAAGTGGTATATCTTCATTTCTCATCTGCCCTTCCCAGGTGAAAGGCCACTATACCCTGAGGTTCAGAGAGCAATTTTACCAACAATTTCAAATATACTTTTAACCAATATGAATCCCAACACTTTCAACCTGTACTATCCCTTTCCAAACAGTCTGTATTAGGATTCTCAGAAGAGAAACAGAACCAGTAGGGTATGTGTTGGGGAGACAGGGCTGGTTGCTGGGGTGTGTGGGTGCGGGGTGTGTGTGGGNTGATTGGATGAGACCTGCCCACATTATGGAAGGTAATTAGCTTTACTCAATGTCTATTGATTTAAAAATAGCTTCACAGTAAGTCAGAGAAAGAGAGATATGGTATGATATCCCTTACACACAGAATCTAAAAAGAAATGATACAAATGAACTCACAAAACAGAAAGAGACTCACATATTTAGAGAAGAAATTTACGGTTATGGGAGGAAGGGGTAAGAGACAGGGAGCATGGGATTGACATACACACATTGCTATATTTTAAGTGGATAACCAAGAGGGCCCTACTGCACAGCACGGGGAACTCTGCTCAGCATTAGGTGGCAGCCTGGATGCGAGGCAATTTAGGAGAGGATGGATACATGTATACGTTGTCACTTGCTCAGCGCCATGTGGCAGCCTGGATGCAAGGGGAATTTAGAGGAGGATGGATACATGTATATGTTGGCACTTTGCTGTGGACCTGAAATTATAACACTATTAATCAGCTATACTCCAGTATAAAATTAAAAGCTTAAATAAAAATAAATAAACTAAAAATTAAATTTAGAAAATAAATAAAGCTTCACAGTGACATCGAGACTTGTACTTAACCCAAAACTAGGTACTTTGGTCTAGCCAAATTGACATACAAAATAAACCATCAAATGAGCCATGACCTGCACAATATATAAGATACATCATGTGCACTGAAGGTTCTAAATACTGTTGTTTCCTATGGCAACCCACTCCAGTATTCTTGCTGGAAAATTCCATGGACAGAGGAACCTGGTGGGCTACTGAAGTCCCTGGGGTCCCAACGAGTCAGACACAACTGAGCACACACGCACACATTCACACTGGCCAACAGGAGAACACAGAGTCAATAGATCCTCTTAACTCATCAGCTGTCCCTTTTGGAAAACTGCTTTGATGGAACTATGCTAGAGGTAGGTCCTCAACAATTTGACTATGCCTTCAAAGGGAGTTAAACCTCAGCAGGGAGTTCTTCCTGGATTTCCAGTGGAAGAGAATGGACACTTTCTAGATTCTTTTGCCCTGATTCTTCTTTGATCTCAGCTAGCAGGTCCCTCTGATGAAATTTATACAAGCAAGTAAGAGAAGGAGCAGGTGCAAAGAAAATTACATTGTTGAAGAATGTTGAAAGAATGCAGATGTATAGAAAATTACAATGTTGAAAAAGGAGGGTCACTGTGACCAGGGCAGGTGGAATGAAAGCATTGTTCTTGAGTACACAGAATGAAAACAAAGAAGAAAGCATGTGACCACAATAATAGCTGGAGTCGTAAGTGAGGAATGACATGAGTAATGTCAAGTTCAGAGGAATGAGTAGGGAAATGCAGGAATATAATATGCAGGAAGAGCAATCCACAAAGATATATTCAGAAACAGAGGCATATGCCTGGACTTTAAATCTGAATTCTGGCTCTAGAGATATACATAGGCAACTCTCAGAACCCTGATTTTCACGTTCATGCCTGGGAAAGTCTTCCCATACTGCTATCTGTCAAGCAAAGGATAGGAACAAATTCCACAGTGTCATGACATCATAGGTAAAGGAATAGATTTAACTGAATAAAGACTATCACAAAGCCAGTGCCATCAAGAGCCAGTTTCCCTCTCATCCCAGGAGAGAATCTCTCATTCCTGCCAGGGCAATCTCTGGACACTGTTTGGGTTCTGCTCTAATGGAGACAATCCTTCCCTTTGTGGGTCTTCCTGTGTGCCTCATGCTGTAACACAGCAGTAAAAAAGTGACCACCTCAATAGTGAAATAAGCAGACTCTTCAGTGCCGAGATGTCTGATTTAGGAAAGCCAGCTATGTACAGAAATTGTCTAGAGTTGAAATACTGCCTGCACTGGGGACTCTGGGGCAGCTAGGGGTCTTGGGCATCTGTAGGATGTATCATTAACCCTGAAGTTAAGAAGGACTCTATAATCACAAATATCTTCAAGTCACCCAGTGCCATGACCTCAAGTTTCCATCATCCAGAGCAGCCCATCTCTAGTTCCCCCACCATATGATTTTTTGGTGGCCCTTGGGGATACCTTGATCACCTTAGTTTCTGAAAAAGGATTTGAACATGTCCAATTGAACGTAATAAGGGGATCAAGTAAATGTGCCCCAGACTGAGATCTGAAATCTGCTCCCATAGCTGGATTCTCTGGCTCCAGAGACTATCAGAGGAGTGACTGAAGCTAAGACCATGTAGAGCAGGACAGACAGGTATGGAAGGATGAGGAGAAGGAAATCATTTCTGTCAACTAGGGAAAGTTTGGTATATCTTTTGAGGTCCTGGCCATTCTAAGAAACTGATAGTGAGAAAATGAGGAAGGGTAATCTAATGCCTCTAGCAGACTCTTAACACTCAAGCTGAATGTTGACTTTTTCCATAGAAAAACAAACTTTAGCTCAACAAGGAAAGATCATGAGTGGGGAGGATAAATGTATGATTGACAACATGGATCCGCTTGGCAGCTCTCCACTTCCTTGATCTGCGTATAAAGACTGTGCTGAGCACCTGGGATCCTACTTCTCTAGGACATCACATTCTGTCTCTTTCAGCATGTACTCTCTCCATCTCCTGCTCAGGGCCAGCCCTGCTGCCCTGCTTCTGATTCTTTGCCTGCAGCTGGGGACCACCAAAGCTCAGGAAGACACGTGAGCCAAGACTTCCTCCTCTTCATTAAAAACAAACAAAAAAATTGGGTCGGGAGGGGGCTCCTCCACTCCTACTCTAGAAATCTGCATATCTGCTCCTGAAAACTTTTTCAACTTCCCAGAACTCTAGTCCCAGGAACTGTCATGAACCCCACGCCTAGCCCCATTTTTCCCCTCTTAGGGAGTGTCATCAATTTCCCTCACATTTCCACTGGGTACTTCTAGGTTGCCCATGGAAATAAGGCTCCCAATGTTCAAGCAGGCTGTAAGTAACTGTTGCTGTGGTTGTTTACTTGCTAGGATGTGTATGTCTCTTTTGCAACCCCATAGACAATAGCCCACCAGCCTCCTCTGTCCATGGGATTTCCCAGGCAAGAATACAGAAGTGGATTGCCACTTCCTTCTCCAGGGGATCTTCCTTACCCAGGCACTGAACCTGAGGCTCCTTCATGGAAGGTGGATTCTTTACCTCTAAGCCAAAGCTCTGATCCACATCCTGTCCATAGTCAATACCTTTGTGAGAATTCTGCTCAGAAAACCCCACCTTCTCGTACCTTTCCTCCTAGAAGAGAAGATGAAGCAGGTCAGAGAGCTCCAACAATAGCTTTAGGAAGCTTTGGGCAGGACTCAGGAAGGGATTAGAGGGTGTGGTCACAGATCCTTGGCCCTATGGTATGAAGCTGCGCTGACCCAGCAACTTAGACATTCTCCCTATTCTCAAGACCACAGATGAAGGCAAGGACCCCTGGCCCCCACAAACACTGATACCAGGAGGCACAGGTTTAGAAGCTAGTTCACTGTGGGTCCACGTTTGACAGAAGCGAGAAACTGGGCAAGCAGAATGGAGTGAGTAGGAAGTGGAGCGAAGGTCTGGGGAGGAACAGAATCACTCAGCATATCTTGGAAGCTTTCTCTACAGGAAGAGAGTTTGGAATGCTGGGTTTCTGGAATATGATTCCGGTGGTGATCTCTGTAGTGTGACCAGATGTCCTATCCTGGAAAAAAACCCTTGGGATTTTGAGAAGCTGCTATAATGTGGAGGCATCAAGAAACACTGAGTGAGGATTAAGTTCAAATATAGATACCACTCTATTCAGCCCTGAGGCATGGCAAGTAGTTGAAATAAGCTGTGCTAATTAAGGTGACCACCCAGCCCAGTTTGCTCAGGAGTTTCTTGGTTTTAGCACTAGAAAGCCCCTCATCCCAGGCAGTTCCTTGTTTTGGGGCAAATGAGGATGACCAGTGCCAGGAAAGAAGATGCTCAGCTTTAAAATAAAGAATTCAAGTTGCTTTAGTAAGCACACCTAATCTGTACAAAACAAGCCCAAATCAAAAGTTGTCAGGAGACTCAGATGCTGAGTGATTGATCCTGCTCTCATCATCTCCTTCCTCCGCACCTTCTCTGTTCCCTTGGTCCTGCTGATCGCAAGCCCCGTCTCTTGTGGATTGATTTCTGATCTCCGACCTGCTTCTCTCTTCCCAGAGCCAGTCGACAGTTGATGACAATGGACCTGCAGATGCAAATAGCAGAGGCGAGTGAAGAGGCCACCTTGGTGCTTAAAGTTTCAACAGAACTGAGGGAATGCATGGTGGTAAGTAGAGGCCCACCTTAGGAAAAGTCTGATTCCTAATTACAAATACAGTTAAATCAAGCTCTGACTTCAATATTGCATAATGTAATTAATAACATAATGAACCCCCACCCACCTGCTCCCAATGCTCATATAGATACTTGAGCCTCAGAATAATCATGGGGGCTCAGGGCAGATGACTACTGTGATTTTACAGATGAAGGGACCCCCGCAGTCCAGACAAGTGTGGGAGGGAGGAGACAGAAGGCATGACAAGTGGGAGAAGCACAGCTAAGAGGGAAGAGAGAAAAACATGTGAGAGGTGGGGGAGGATGGGTGAGAGTCCCTCCCCAGGTCCTGGGTATGACCGTTTGAGATGAAGGACAGGAGCGTGGAGAGCCTCAGAAGGAAAACCCACAATCCCATCTGGGAGGTTGAGGCAAGTGGGGAAAGGAGATGCGGTGCCAACAACATTCAGGTTATGAACCCTCCTCCTCAGGAAGCCCTGAGCAGAGTCTGCTTTCTTCTCACTCTTCTGTTCTTTGGCTTCGTCTGCTCTTTTGTCAGAAGTTGACCGTTGTTCCAACCTCTCCTCTCTGATAAGGAAAGCACACCCTTCTCCTCCCTTTCTCCCAGTTCAGCAGTGGTGAGCGGGAGGATCTAGACCAGAGCATCTCCAAGGATAACGTGCATTAGGCCCCCTCTTGTCTGACTGCTCTGGGTCCCGTGGAAAGGACCTGTGCAGGTTGAACCCACAGAACTTCCCCTTGCACCCCAGGAAGAGTGTGTCCTTCTCCACCTCACTGACAGTCTCCTCTGGTGTTGTCACGAAAGCACAATCCTCCCTTGCTAGGGGCTTCCTCAATGTTCAGCGGATAAAGAACCGACCCGTAATGCAGGAGACTCAGGAGATGCGGGTTCCATCCCTGGGTGGGGAAGATCCCCCTGGAGGAGGAAACAGCAACCCACTCCAGTATTCGTGCCTGAAAAATTCCACAGACAGAGGAGCCTCGTAGGCTACAGTTCATGGCAGCACAGAGGGTCGCACACAGCTGAGCGACTGAGCAGGCACGCACATCCCTTGTTAGCCACCTCTGTTCAAGGACCAAGATCCATGCATCTACCCCATCTCATTCCAGAAAGACATCTCTCAAGAAGCACAGGTACCTTCTGACAGCTTCGGAATTCAAATTAGATTTGAAAGTCAAAGTGGTGATAGATTATGAAAGTCCAATTCCAACCCTGAGAATGTAACAGGTGTAAAAAAAATGTGTTTAATCAACAATTTGACACCTGATATAATTTTTTGCTGCTGTGATTAATAAAACTGTCTTAAGAAAAATGCTAGTATAATAAAATAAAGCAATCTTTTTAAAACCTAACCAAGTACAAGTCAAAGACAAAGAATTCCATAGAATGAATGATACTGAAATTAGAAAGAATTTATGTATAACTATAAAATAAGTGTGAGCTTTCCAGGTGGTGCTAGCAACAAAGAACCTGCCTGCCAATGCAGGAGACATAAGAGAAGGTTTGATCCCTGGGTCAGGAAGATCCCCTAGAGAAGGAAATGGCAACCCACTCCAGTATTCTTGCCTGGAGAATCCCATGAACAGAGGAGCCTGGCAGGTTACAGTCCACGGGGGTCACAAAGTGTCAGACACAACTGAGCAACTTAGCATGCAAACATGAAATAAATGTATAACTATGAATACACCTTCATATTTTTAAAGCTTTGGAAAAAATATAATTTTATAGGTGTGCTGCCTCTAGAACCTAATATTCATTTTCTACTAATTATAATGTTTATGTAACTAAATTCTTGATCAAGTGAGGTATTAAAGATCACAAAGACAAGTATAAAATAGATTGGGATTTCCCTGGGGGTCCAACGGCTAAAACTCTGCACTTTCAAGGCAGGGGACCCAATCAGGGAATTAGATCCCACATGCTGCAACAATAGATCCCTTGTGCCACAACTAAGATCCAGGGTAGCCAAATGAATAAATAAATACAAATAAATATTTTTAAAATGGAATAGACTATACCCTAAATCATGTGTTTGAATATAAACACCATATAATCATTTAATGTTGAAGAAAACATAGGGTTAACCAAGTGCTTAAACATTTGTGGTCTGGACCATTTTGCTGGTCTTGGGACTCTTACCAGAAAATTGCTCTAAATTTGTAAATAAAATGCACTGGTTATAAAGGAAAACAGACATATTAAAGAAAAATGATAAAATTATTAAAAAAATTAACTTGTGATACAGCTATATATGTCTGTTCTTTCATGGGCGCACTAGCTAAAAGGCAATATACTTAAATATAAACAAGTTAAATTTTATTTTCTAGAGATTATATATAGATGGCTGTCATTGTGAAGCTTGAGTAAGGACCTTAAACTGTACACTACCATTTGGCAACAAATCACAGCTGTTTTGTTGGACATCCAAGGGACTAGGAATTTTTTGTTTTGGTTATTCAAGTAGTGAAAATCCTGATTCATAAAGATTGTTGTTGCTCACTTCATAAGGCATGTCCAACTTTTTGTGACCACATGAATTGCACCACACCAGGCTTCCCTGTCCTTCACTATCTCCCAGAGTTTGCTCAAACTCACATCCATTGAGCTGATGATGATATCTAATGGTCTCATCCTGTGCTGCCCCGTCTCCTCCTGCCATTGATCTTTTCCAGAATCAGGGTCTTTTCCACTGAGTCAGCTCTTTGTATCAAGTGGCCAAAGTATCAGAACTTCGGCTTCACCATCAGTCCTTTCAATGAATATTCAGGGTTGACTTCCTTTAGGACTGACTGGTCCAACTCTCACATCCATACATGACTACTGGAAAAACAATAGCTTTAACTATACGGACGCTGGTCGGCAAAGTGATGTCTCTGCTTTTTAATAATTTGTTTAGGTTTGTCATAGCTTTTCTTTCAAGGAGCAAACATCTTTTAATTTCATGGCTGCAGTCATCATCCTTAGTGATTTTAGAGCCTAAGAGAGTAAAATTTATCACTGTTTGCACTTCCCTTTTCTATTTGAATGAAGTGATGGGACTGGATGCCTTTTTGTCGTTGTGTTGTCCCATCACTCAGTCATGTCCAAGTCTTTGCTACCCCATGCACTGCAGCACGCCAGGCCTCCCTTGTCCTTCACCATTTCCCGGAGTTTGTTCAAACTCATGTCCACTGAAATGGTGATGCCATCCAACCATCTCATCCTCTGTTGTCCCCTTCTTCTCCTGTTTCAATTTTTCCCAGCATCAGGTTCTTTTCTAATGAGTCAGATCTTCACATCAGGTAGCCAAAGTATTAGAGCTCCAGCTTCAGCATCAGTCCTTCCAATGAACATTCAGGGTTGATTTCCTTTATGATTGACTGGTTTGATCTCCTTGCAGTCCAAGGGACTCTCAAGAGTATTCTCCAACACCACAGTTCAAAAGCATCAATTCTTTAGTGCTCAGCCAACTCTCACATCCATACATGACTACTGGGAAAATCATAGCTTTGACTATACGGACCTTTATCATCCAAGTAATGTCTCTGCTTTTTAATATGCTGTCTAGGTTTGTCATAGCTTTCCTTCCAAGGAGCAAGCATCTTTTTATTTCATGGCTGCAGTCACCAACTGCAGTGATTCTGGATCCCAAGACAATAAAGTCTTTCACTGTTTCCATTGTTTCCCAATCTATTTGCTATGAAGTGATGGGACCAAATGTCATGATCTTAGTTTTTTGAATGTTGAGTTTTAAGCCAGTTTTTCATTCTCCTCTTTCACACTCATCAAAAGGCTCTTTAATTCCTCTTTGCTTTCTGCCATTAAAGTGGTATCATTTGCTTATCTAAGGTTGTTATTTCTCCTAGAAATATTGATTCCAGCTTGTGAGTCACCCAGCCCAGCATTTAGCATGATGTAGCTAAGTTAAATAAGCAGAGTGGCAATATACAGCCTTAACGTACTCCTCTCCCAATTTTGAACCAGTTTGTTGTTTCATGTCCATTTCTAACTGTTGCTTCTTGTCTCTCAGGAGACAAGTAAAATGATCTGGTATTTCCATTTCTTTAAGAATTTTCCACACTTTGTTTTGATCCACACAATCAAACATTTTTGTGTAGTCAATGAAGCAGAAGTAGATGTTTTCCTGGAATTCCCTTGCTTTTCTATGATACAACAAATGGTGGAAATTTGATGTCTGACTCTTCTGTTTTTTCTAAACCCAGCTTGTACATCTGGAATTTCTCAGTTCACATACTACTGAAGCCCAGTTTGAAGGATTTTGCATATTACTTTGCTAGCATATGAAATGACTGCAATTGTGCTGTAGTTTGAACATTCTTTTGAATTGCCCATTTTGGGGACTGGAATGAAAACTATTTTTTTCCAGTCCTGTAGCCACGGCAGCGTTTCCCAAATTTGCTGACATATTGAGTGCAGCACTTGAACAGCATCGTCTTTTAGGATTTTAAATGGATCAGCTGGAATTCCATCACCTCCACTAGCTTTGTTCACTCTAATAATTCCTAAGGGCCTGCTTGACTTCACCTTCCAGGATATCCGTCTCTAGGTAAGTGACAATACTATCATGGTTATCAGGTTATTAAGACCTTTTTGTACAGTTCTTCTGTGTATTCTTGCCACCTCTTCTTAATCTCTTCTGCTTCTGTTAGTCCTTACCATTTCTATCTTTTATCATGTCCATCCTTGTATGAAATATTCCCTTGATATGTCAAATTTCTTGAAGAGATCTCTTGTCTTTCCTAATCTGTTGTTTTCCTCTATTTCTTTACATTGTTCACTTAAGAAACTTTTCTTATCTTTCCTTGCTATTCTCTGGAACTCTGCATTCAGTGGGACATATCTTTCCCTTTCTCCTTTGCCTGTCGCTTCTTTTCTTTTCTCAGCTATTTGTAAAGCCTCAGACAACCATGTTGCATTCTTGCATTTCTTTTTCTTATGGATGGTTTTGGTCACCACCTCCTGTAAACTGTTATGAACCTCTGTCCATAGTTTTTCAGGCACTCTGCTATCATATTCAATCCCATAAATCTATTCATCACCTCCACTGTATAATCATAAGGGATTTCATTTAGGTCATACCTGAATTGTCTCTTGTTTCTCCCCACTTTCTTCAATTCAAGACTGAATTTTGCAACAGGGAGCTCATGATCTGAGCCACAGTCAGCTCTAGGTGTTGTTTTTGCTAACTGTATACAGCTTCTCCATCTTCAGCTGCAAAGCTTATAAATCAATCTGATTTCAGTATTGACCATCTGGCGATGTCCATGTGTAGAGCTGTCTCTTGTGTTGTTGGAAAAGGGTGTTTGTTATGATCAGTGTGTTCTATCTCTGTCCTGGTTCATCTTGTACTCCAAGGCCAAACTTGCCTATTACTCCAGATAACCCTTGACTTTCTACTTTTGCTTTCCAATCCCCTATGATGAAAAGTACATAACTTTTTGGTTTTAGACCTAGAAGGTCTTGTAGGTCTTCATAGAATCCTTTAACTTCAGCTTCTTTGGCATTAGTGGCTGGGACATAGACTTGGATTGCTGTGATGTTGAATAATTTGCCTTGAAAATGAACTGAGATCATTCTGTTATTTTTGAGATTGCACCCAGCACTGAATTTCAGACTCTTTTGTTGCCTGTGAGGGCTATTCCATTTCTTCTAAGGTATTCTTCCCCATAGTAATGGATATAATGGTCATCTGAATTAAATTCACTCATTCCTGTCTGTCTTAGTTCACTGATTCCTAAGATGTCAAGGTTCACTCTGGCCATCTCCTGCCTGATCATGTCCAATTTGCCTTGATTCATGAACCTAACATTCCAGGTTCCTATGCAGTGAAGCTCTTAATAGCATCAGGCTTTACTTTCAACACCAGACATGTCTACAACTGAGTGTCATTTCTACTTTGGCCTAGCCTCTTCATTCTTTCTGGAGCTATTTCTCTGCTCTTCCCCAGTAGCATATTGGACATCGTCCAACCTTGGGGGCTAATCTTCTGGTGCCATATCATTTTGCCTTTTCTTACTATTCATGGGGTTCTCAAAGAAAGTATACTGGAGTGGATTGCCATTCCCTTCTCCAGTGCACCACATTTTGTCAGAACTCTGCACTGTGATCCATCCATTTTGGGTGGCCCAGTAGAGTGTGGTTCATAACTTTATTGTTATACAAGACTCTCTGCCATGACAATGCTGTGATCCATGAAGGGGATAGATGAAGATACATTGTTGCAAATGTAATAAAAAACTAAACAAGGTAAGGGTAGATTTCTCTATAGAAACACCAGGATGTCCAAAGTATTCTGAGTAAAATTCCAAAGGTGAGAACATTTGAGTTCACTGTTTGGGGCTGACAGGCCATTCAGTGCAGAGCTGCCAGTTACCTGGGCAAGTTGCAGGAAAGAAGCTGATGGCCCCAGCCATGAACATACATGTCAGTCTGATAGAGCACTAAGGTAGTGATGAGGAGACAATATTTCAAGATCTCTAAAATTATAATGTAGTGCAAACATGTCTATGTCTCTCTTCTTGATAAGATCACGCATGCTGCTAATACCGCTATGGATTACTGATGACCTTTGTAACAGAAGGACTCATTTTCAATGAAAGTCTAGTAAAAATAAAGATAAAACTTCTTCCCACCTGAATACACAGACTCACTGAATGCTATCCACAGATCTTTCTGGGTTTATGGACCCCAGAATAAAACTCCCGTGCTGAACACTAACTAGACGGAAGCTTCTTGACTCCACTGAAACTTACACATGCTGTACTCTGGGATCTTCATTTTTTTAGCTTCTTCTTAATTTTGACTGTGCTGGGTCTTCCTTGTGTGGCTTCTCTCCAGTTGCAGTGAGCAGGGGCTATGCCCCAGTTGCAGGGAATGGTCTTCTCGTTGCAGTGAATTTTCTCATTGCAGAGAATGCGCTGTCGAGCCACAGGCTCAATACTTGTACTGCATGGGCTTCGTTTGCTCTGTGGCACGTGGGATCTTCCCAGTCCAGAGACAGATCCCATGTATTCTGCATTAGCAGGCAAATTCTCTACCACTGAGCCACCAAGGAAGCCCGTATACTCTGGAATCTTAAATTGTAAAGTGCTCTCAATTTCAAAGAGGAAAACTAACTTCAAGATCTCAATCTCATTTGGAACCCATTAGTAGCACCCAGGGTTGGTGAGTAATTGCTTTCGCCTCACAGCTGAGGAAAGCCAGGGTGAGACACATCACCCTAATTATGAAAGGTCACTAATTACTGAAAGTCACAGAGTTTTAGAGGAGCACAGCTGGGGCTCAGCCACAGTCTGGCAGCAGGGCCTGGCATTGACTTCCACACCCAAGCAGCCAGGCTGTGGTCACAGGCCAATTCTGGAGAGCCTTGACTAGGGAAGCAAGCCCTGTGAACTCACCTCTTTCCTCCCAAGCCCTAGACCCACGCTGCTACAGCAGGAATTTGAGGACATGAGGACAGAAGACCTTCTGAGCTAGATGACACCACATAGTTGACTCCTCCTGCCTCTGACCCACACCCATCCCTGCCTTTCAATCACTAAGCAGATCCTCCTCCCCCTTCACCCATTCTTGTCTTTCACTCTTCCATCCCCAAGCTAACACTGGGTCCTCTCTCCCCAGATTAAATCTTATCTTCTAAGCAACATTCCGATTGAAGGCAGTTTTAATTATAAATACACCTCCTGCCTCTGTGACAGTCACCCAAGGAGCTTCTTCTGGGACTTGCAAACCAACAGTAAGTACAGGAGATGACCAAGCCAAGAACTATCCTCCAGGGAGGGAAAAAACACAAGAGAAAGGTGGCTCCATATCTGGATCAGAACCTCCATGGGGAAGGGCGGAGAGGAAGGGAGGAAAGAAGAGGCGGAGAGAATGTGGGGACTCGGCCCAATTTGAAAGGTGAAAGGTTTGGGAGAAAAGTTAATCAGGGGCCTATATTTGTAAATGATTTGGGGAAACTGAATCCCAGTGGGGAAATTCCTGGTGATGGCAGAAAAGCCAAGGCATAGAGTGTTATCAGAGAAGACCTTTGTCCTGCCTTATCTCTTTCAGGTACAGTAAGAATAACAGCAGTGGTTGACGTTATTCGTGAACTAGGTATCTGCCCAAATGACTGGGCAGTGATACCTATTAAAGCAAATCGCTTTTCTATCACCAAGAGCCTACCATAGTCTGATCTAAACGGAAGCCTTCGTCTCTGCATACCCCAACCCTGCCAGCAGATGATTTCCTCCAAGGAAAGCTGGGTGGGGTCAATTAGCTAACTTTAGTCTCTAAAATAAACTTCTCACAAGCTTCTCTGACTTCTTTGTCTTTCCTACAAAATCTACCCCAGAGGAGCCTCAGAACAGCCAGAATTTTTAGGGCTCTGCTCTTTCAAAGGACCTTTACTGAGGAGAGTTTTTGGGCTTTCCCTGTCCATGAAATATTCTGGCCACCTGATGCAAAGAGCTGACTCATTGGAAAAGACCCTGATGCTGGGAAAGATTGAAGGCAGGAGGAGAAGGGGATGACAGAAGATGAGATTGTTGGATGATATCACCGACTCAATGGACATGAGTTTGAGTAAACTCTGGGAGTTGGTGATGGACAGGGAGGCCTGGCAAGCTGCAGTTCATGGGGTCGCAAAGAGTCGGACGTGACTGAGTGACTGAACTGAACTGAATGAACTATGATNGACCATAAATGAGTATCAGAATCCAGGGCAAGAAAACACAATTGTTAGGAAAGATCACTTGATATACTAATTAGAATAGTACAGTGATTGCATGCTTAACATGTATCAAAAAAGCACTGAAGATTTTTATTTACATGCTTTACCACATGCCTTATTAAAAAATAACCTCAAGCTATATATACAGGTATACAAACACATACATCCACACACATACATAGGAGTGAGTATTATTCTGTCATGGGAAAGAGTGAAATCCTGCCATTTGCAACAACATGGATGAAACTTGAGGACATTATGCTAAGTGAAATAAGTCAGACAAAGAGAAAAATACTGTATATCACTTATATGTAAAATCTAAAAATGCTGAACTCAGGAAGTGAGACAGAAAGCAGAGTAAGATGATCCTAGACTCGCCTCCTCCCAGGGACACACCAAATGACAAAATACATATAAAGAAGCTCTCTCTGAGGATGACCTGGAGACTAACAGAAAAGGTTTTCCACAGCTAAAGATAAGAAGGGAAAGCCACATGGAGAAGGACAGGAGGAGCAGAAGAGCAGTCTGGTTGGGACCAGTCCTGGGGGTCTAACCCATCGGTGGGAAGGATATCACAGCCTGGGAGACTCGCTGAGGGCTCTGAACACACGAAGGCCCCCAGCCCAGGAGACCTGCACCAGGAAGACAAGCTCCCATACCATCTGGCTTTGAAAGCCAGGGGGCTCAACGCCTGGGAGAGCCAGAGGGCTGTGGGAAGCTGAGACTCTACTCTTCAAGAAAACTCCAAAATTCATTCCCTCGGAGTGTCGGCAGCAAGGCAGATGTTTCAAAATCTCTTACCTTGAGGAGACTCGTTGACTAATTTTCAGGGATGTGCCCGAGCAGCAGGGATCACGGAACTTTCGGGGTGTAGAGAGACTGGCATGTGCCACTTTGATGGCAGTTTTCTTATAGCTTACCCTCTACTTAGCTGGTCCAGCATTAATGGGCACCATTTCTGACTCTTGCCATTTAACTTACTAGCACTGCTTGTCCCATCCTGGGTTCACCTGTGGACCGAACACATCCGGCAATCTTCCAAAGCAGCACCCCAACCCTGCCAGCCCCAACAGATATCCTCAGCCAGCAGCAAAGCCCCACCAGACCTGGCAGCCACTCCAGAGCTACACCAGAGCCCCTCCAAAGCAGCCTGCCATGCTCCCAGTTCCAGCAGACACCATCAACCAGCAGTGGAGACCTCCAGAGTAGACCGCTGCTCCCCCCATACCCAGTGACCAGGCTAAGTGGGCACCAGACTCCCTCCAATGTGGCCTCTCACCCCGCCAGTCCCTGCAAGCATTTCTGACCAACACCAGAGTCCCTCCAAAGCAGGCCACTGTTTCATCTTACCCAGTGGATACCCTCAGTTAGCAAAACAGAGCCCCTTCAAAGCAGACCCCTGCCCTGCCGGCCTTGACGGTCACCCTTCGCTGGCAGCACCATCTGAAAGCAGCTTTGATCCCAGGGGCCAGCTGCACACAGCACCGCAGCAACAACGACTGCTGCCAAGCCTTGCAGGCTCAGCCCTTCCTACTAGCACACCTGCAGTAAGCATGGCCCAGCCACAGCGTGAAGACAGGCAGTAAATCTAAATCATACCAAGCATCTTTTCTGATTAGAGACAGAGAGAATTAGAAAAAGAAGAACAAAGAAATCCCAGCATCAGCAGAAGAAAGGAAATAATAAAGATCAGAGAGAAGATATATAAAACACATAATCACATAATCATCTCAATAGACACAGAAAAAGTATTCAGCAAAATTCAATATATATTCATGGTTAAAAAAAAAAAAACCCTATCAAAGTGGGCATAAAGAGAACATATCTCAACATAATGAAGGCCATTTATAACAAACCCAAAGCCAACATCATAATCAATAGTGAAAAGCTGAAAGACTTTTCTATAAATAAATGAACAAGACAAGGATGTCCACTCTTGTCACTTTTATTTAACATGGTATTGGAAATCCTAACCACAGAATTCAGATAAGAAAAATAAGAAGCATCCAAATTGAAAATGAAGAAGTAAAATGGTTAGTGTTTACATAAAACTTGATACTACATGTAAACACCCAAAAATATACTAAAACTAATACATGAATTCAGCAAAGTTACAGGGGGTAAAATTAATATTCAGAAATCTATAGTGCTTCTATACCCTAACAATAATCTATTAGAAAGAAATTTTTAAAATAATCCCTATTGACAATTGCATCTAAAGAGAATAAAATATGTAGGAATAAACTTAACCAAGGAGGTGAAAGATATATACTCTAAAAATTATAAAACACTGATCAAAGTAACTGAAGATGACACAAATAAAAGATATACTTGGCTTATAAACTGGAAAAATTACTACTACTAAAATGTTCATATGACCCCAAACAATCCAGAGATTAAATTCAGTCCCTATCAACATACCAAGGCATTTTTCATGGAACTGGAAAAAATAATCTTAAAATTTGTATGGAACCACAAAAGATCCCAAATAGCCAAAGCCACCTTGAGAAAGAAGAACAAAACTGAAGATATCATGATCACTGATTACAAGCTGTGCTATAAAATACTGTACGCCTGATAAAAAGGAGAGACAAGACACATAGATCAATGGAAGAGATTGGAGAACCTGTACATAAAACCACTCTTTTAGAGTCAATTAATCTACAACAAAGGAGGCAAAAATGTAAAATGGAGCAGACAGCTTCTTCCATAAATATTTCTGAGAAAACTGGACAGCTACTGCAAAAGAATCAGACTAGACCATTTTCTTATATAGAAAATAAACTCAAAATGGATAAGGACCTGATGTAAGACCTGAAACCATAAAACTCCTAGAAGAAAACATAAGCACAATGGTCTTTGACATCCGTCTTATTTTTTTTTTGGATTTGTTTGCTCAGGCAAGAGAAATAAAAGCAAAAATAAACAAATAGGATTACCTCAAACTAAAAAAGTTTTGCACAACAAAGGAAACCACAACAAAATAAAAAGGCCAACTACTGAATGAAAGAAGATATTTGCAAATGATATAGCCAATGGGGTTAATATCCAAGCCAAATTTTGTAGAAAAAACGTATAACTCAGTATAAAAAGATCTAATTTAAAAAGCAGTCAGAGTACCTGTATAGACATTTCTCCAAAGAAGACATGGAAATACCTAATATGAAACTCAACAGCACTAATTTCCTGGGAAATGCAAATTTAAAACACAGTAAGCTATCACCTCATATCTGTGAGAATGATCGTCATTAAAAAAACAACAAATAATATGTGTTGGAAAGGGTATGGAGAAAAGTTAACAGTCGTGCACTGTTGGTAAAAATGTGGACTGGCACCAATCTACATTTAAATCTACCAATCTACACCAATCTTCTCAGTGCAACCAAAATGGAAGAGTATGCAGGTATCTCAAAAAATTAATATAACAAACTATCATATGATTCAGCAAGTCCATTTTCAGATATCTTCCTGGAGAAAGTAAAAATACTAATTTGAAAATATGCATGCAGGCCTATGTCTGTTGTGCATGCTAAGTCTCTTCAGTCATGGCTGATTCTTTGTGACCCTATGGACTATAGCCTGCCAGGCTCCTCCATCCGTGGAATTCTCTAGGCAAGAATACGAATTGCCATGCCCTCCTCCAGGGGGATCTTCCTGACCCAGGGATCAAACCCACGTCTCCTGCTTTGGCAGGCAGGTTCTTTACCACTAGAGCCACCTGGGACGCAAAACATTCATTGCAGCATTATTTACAATAGCCAAGATATAGACGCAACCTTGTTATTGTTGCTCAGTTGCTAAGGCATGTCCAACTCTTTGCAACCCCATGGACTGCAGCACGCCAAGCTTCCCTGTCCTTCACCATCTCTCGGAGTTTGCTCAAACTCATGTCCACTGAGTCTGTGATGCCATTCAACCATCTCACCCCCTATTGCCTACTTCTTCTCCTGCCCTAAATCTTTCCAGTATCAGGGTCTTTTCCAATGAGCCAGCTCTTCACATTAGGAGACCAAAATATTGGAATTTCAGCTTTAGCATCAGTCCTTCCTGTGGATATTCAGGGTTGATTTCTTTTAGGATTAACTGGTTTGATCTCCTTGTTCTCCAAGGGACTCTCCAGAACCACAATTCAAAAGTATCAATTTTTTGGTCCTCAGTCTTCTTCATGGTCCAACTCTCACATCCAAACATGACTACTGGCAAAACCAACGTTTTGATTCTATGGATGGTTATAGTAACTAGTTAACTTTGAAATCAATCCTCACTAGGTAAGACTTAAGACCTAATATAATATTTCTTAATATTTATTGATTTATATGGTTGAACCAGGTCTTATTTGAAGCACATGGGATCTTCAATCTTCACTGAAGCATGTGAGAACTTTAGTTGTGGCATGCAAACTCCTACTTTTGGCATGTGGGAACTGGTTCCCCAGCCAGGGATCAAATCCAGGGACCCTGCATTGGGATCTCATAAACACAGAACCACCAGGGAAGTCTCAACACTGAATATTCTTGAGAGAAGAAATTTAGGTGACTTATCTCATGGCTAGAGCATAACTGGTTTTCAATGAATGACAATTCGAAGCAA